CCAGGTCCCGGTTCTAGACCACATGAGGTGCCGGTGCAGTGCCTGCATGCACTGTGTGTGCCGCTGGCGACAGGCCGTCATGGACAAGTTCGCGCGGAAAGTTGCCGCGCCGCGCCGCGTCAGGAAGAAGCCGAGTCGGCGGTCTCCCAGGCTGCGGGTGGCCGTGCGTCACCGCCACAAGTCGCCATCTGCAGCAAGGCCCGCGGCACTTTTCCGCCAGCGGAGAACTCGCTCTCTGTCCAGGTATTGTTGGTGTTGTGCTACGTCCTTTGCTTTCTTTGTAAAGTTTAGTTTTAGTAAGAGTTTTACGGCACTTGCAACGCCAGTAGACTACATAAATACTGAAGATTTGAGCTATTTTAGTTTTAGTAAGAGTTTTACGGCACTTGCAACATAATCAGGTCATATGAGTGCCGACGATTAGAGGTGTTATAAGAGAGTAAAAAACACATAAAAAGAAAGAGGAGAGAAAAGGGCGATAGATGTTTGATAGGAAAGAAGAAGCAAACCACACCAGGGCACCCGCTAACCACCCACTGAGCTATTTCAAGAGAGTAACATACAAAAAATAATTATTAGGGAGAAGGAGAAGGAGGAGGAAGAGAGATGATGCCAGTAGATGTTTGATAGGAAAGAAGTACCAAACCATACCAGAGCACCCGTCAACCACCCACAATGTGTTGCTGGACACAAGCCATCAGAAGATTGTAATTATTTTTTTTTTATTGTAAATAATTTACGCCCCCGGCAACACAATTAGGTCGTGCAAGACACCACTGCTGTCATACGGTTATACAGCCAGCCCAGGCAGAGTGTGGTATACAGTTTAAGCAGGCACACGCAGCAACTTGATTTTTTGAAAAACCAACAAAAACCTCCCCACTTGAGAATCGAACTCACATCTTCCGCACACAACAGCAAAAATGTAAAGCATAATTGTAGCACAGACGCCGGTAAAATCCCAACAAATCACAAACCCCCAAGCCCCAACCCACCCCCAC